AAATGGAAGGCAGATGATACAGAGGAAACCAGCAGATATCCTAGCTCGCGAGCCTGAGTGAGTCGCGTAGTAAGGTTTGAGAGAGATGAACAAACTACAGAATTTATTCAAAGGTACAAAGTAGAGAACATCGGGTTGAGTCATGATCGCCAACGTCCTGAAGGTACACGGAAAGAGGAAGAAGAAAAAGGGAAAATATATATCCAGGTAATAAGCAGATGAGTGACTCTTGAATTAAGACTATAACGCATTATACTTAGTGGCATTGAAAGGACATTGTGTATTCTGATATTCTTCTGCAAAATCAGACATTGAATACCATTCCAAACTAGACAGATTATAGGCAGCAATCAATGAAAAGTATTTGGAATAAGCTTAACGGAAGGGTGCCGTATTCCATCAGGACAATGCCAGACCTCACATTTATTCGCGAATCAACTAGAAACTTATACAGCTCGGCTGGGATGTGCTGCTACAGCCACATGACCTTATGTCTTATTATTACTTATTTTGAGCTCTACAAAATTCTCATATTTCATTCTCTGGAAGACTGCAAAAACTATTCAGTACATCTCTCTCTCACACACACACTCTTTCTAAATACTTACAGATCGATAGATAGTTATATAGATAGATTCATCTATCTATCTATCTATCTATATAGATAGATAGATAGATAGATAGATAGATAGATAGATAGATATATGTACAGGAATAGTTACTTAAATTCTCTTGTTCTCCAAGTAAAAAGAGTTTCCAAAAATATATCCTGACAAATAGATAGACCGAGAATTTTTCAGCACTAGCAACCTATACAGACACACATATATGTGTCTGTGTGTGTGTCTGTTAGTGTAACTTACATTTCAATTTAATTTGCCACTAATTCTGATTAATTACGTTATTACGCCTATTGTCAATCTTGATATAATTTAATTAGAGCAATAGAATGGATATCCGTGTGCCTCTAATACAAGTAAACATATCTGTGTGGGTATGTGTTACACACACACACACACACACACACACACACACACACACACACACACACACACACACATATATATATGGGTGTCTATTCCATGGCTGACATATTTGCGTATTTTTGATGATAGCAGTGACCAGGTTTCAAGTGACGGTAAATACCCAAATTTTACACTGCTGAATTTCTAGGCTGTACCCACTTCGAAGATCGACTTGGCACAGTTTTCTATCTTCCTTATGACCTTGTATCAGGATAAGCTAAGCTCAAGTAATATCTTGAAGCATATGGTGTTTGATATAGGAATCAGGAAGACACAAAACGCATAATGACGATTATAAATGTCTTTTTTCAGGGCATGCTAACGCTTGTAGGTGAAGACATTTCCGAAAAAAAAAAATTAAGTAATCACCCTGATAACAAAAGATTCGATAGATAGCATTTTGTTATTCAGAGAGTATAAATTACATTATCCACCCCCCCTCTCTCTCTTGGATATGACATTTTTTAACATTTGGCGTTCATTTTATTCCGATATCCTTTTCTCATTTATTAATTTTTATAAACAAAATGTTTTTTTTTGCCAGCCGCAATGATGGAGAAAGGATTACCTCACACTATCGCCAGTGAGACGCGCTGCAAGAGCCACTACGTTTCGCGAGGCTCGTCTCTTAATCGAGTCGCCATCCCGCCAACCCTCCGAAGGAACGCCATGTAACGAGGGCCAATAACCCCAGAAGTCTCCTCGGCTACAGGAGTGAAAAAAAATCTATCAGCAAGAGAAGAAGATATATATATATATATATATATATATATATATATTTTTATCTCTGTGTCCCTGGCGACGGATTCCGGCTCAACCGCGGCGGACCTGATCAAATAATAATGATAAATGACATGATATTCTGAATGTGAAATTTTAAAGTTTGGTTGGATGACGTCACAATGAGTCGGCCATGCGAGAGCTTACGATCAAGTCACGTGTTCATCGTTTGATCATTGAAGTTATTTATACAACATCGAGATTGGTGCACAGTTTTGGAACAACAGTCTCTGAGTGTATTTACTTGACCCCCCACTGAGTCAGGTTGTGACACAAGGTCGGTTTTTAACGTGTTTTCACTCGGGCCGCTGATCTTAGCTGGTCATAGCTTGTCCAAGCTGGTCAGAGCTGGTCTAAGCTAGTCATAGCTGGTCTTGGCTTGTCCTAGCTGGTCCAGGTCGGAGCCGGTCCAAGCAAGTCCTAGTCGTGATACCACAAGCCCAGGGACGAGCTCTGTGCCAGGTAAGACGAAGGGCGGAGTCTCCTTCGGGGAGGTAAAAACGGCCCTGAACCCGTTTATACGGGTTCAATTGGCATATTTTTGGCCGAGCCCGCGGGCTCGGAATGCCCACGTTAAAAAGGCCTTGTGCCACATGACACCCTCGTGGGGGGGTGACTCAATATCGTAAGACGAGCCCTTTGCAGACGCGTGAATTCGTGCTGGACTATTTGATACCGTATTGGACAGCTTAAAGAAACGATGGGCATTTTAGAGCTTTCATTTCAGGAGGGAATATTCAGGGAAAATGTCTTTAGTCTATATAAGTATGTAATGTTTGAAGCAAACCATGGGTACATAGCAAAACATTGTAAAAGAACTTTACCTATAAAAGTAAGCATTACTGTATATAAAAAGCAAGCTAGCACTATAGCTGAACATAAATAAAAAAAATCACGATGTAAATTCACTCACCACTTAACCAGTGTGGGTTATCCCACATAATCTTCCAATAAATCAGGCGGTTTGTGTATATTTTGTTTGATCTTACGCAGGGGATCAGTTTTACAGTAAATTTACATAGTAAACTGAACTGGACTCCTAATACATTTTATGATGTTTAATATATCTATTCGTTATATGGAGTGCTTAATCTAAAGTAATGAAAAAATTATTAATAAAAAGAATTATTTCTGGTTACAGGAGTTATTATATAACTCCTCTTCAATATGACCTGTAGCAGCGATCTAGAGGTATTTGTTGGCTGTGCCCATTTCATTGTAAGTATCATGTGTCACGCTATAATGAGTTTCATGTCATCTCTTCTTTAAAGAAGAATATCTCCTCTAACTGAAAACTAGCATCATGTTGCGACAATGATAAGAGCGATGTAATGTATTGATATAATTGCGTATAAAAAAAAATCTTATTATATCAGATTAATATGTTGGAAGAAAATCATTTTGTTTGCTGTGAAAATCTCTTGTGTTATAGGCTTATCGGAAACAACCGTAGTTACACCATTAAAATTTGTCCCGTTAGGCATTCTGGTGCAAATATTTTAGACAATGTCGTAGAAATAAAAGGACAGAGAGGGAAACAAAGATATAGAGGTAAAAAAAAAACAAATACAGAGAAAAGGATGAAATAAATAGAAGGAATTCGTGAATAGCAAATGAAAATGAAAGATACAGAAAAGATCGAGAATAATTTGGGATAAAAAAATGGCAACAGAAGAAAAAGAAAAATAGAACGAAAAACGGGAAAATAAAGTAAAACAGACAAAAAAATATTTTACCAATAGATTGCAAGAAAAGATGAAAAGGTATTTTTAAAAAGAAATATTTTCTAAAAATAAAAGAAAAATCTAATAAATAAAACACAGACAAAAAAATACCTAATTACCAAACGCATTTCCAGGCCATTTTTTCTTTGCCTCCATTCCAAAGTGATTAACAGCCAAGATTAAATTACCCTCAAACTCCACAATTAAGTCTGAGAAACTGGCACACAAACAAAACGCACAGATTTCTGTGCCACGCCAGAGATTGAGAGGCAGTTCTTTGTAAAAAAAAAAAAAAAAAAAGTATAAGCGGCTTAAATAATTCTAATGAGAAAGACCAAAAGACAATAGCCTCGCTTTACTTTTCTCTTTCTCTTACAAACACACACACAAACCATACATATATTGGACAGAAAACCAGAATTATACATTGGATAATATTTTTCTCCACTTTCAGCGTTTTCATCAAAGATTACAGAGAGCCGTAGTCATGGCAACACTCACGAGTAATATAGAATTTACACTCGTCACAAATTTTACTTTTCATTTTCTTTCTAGGTACCAACATTTTTCACACTTTACTCTTGCATAAGTTTATATTTCTTGTATCATGTTTGTTAATTTTTGGATACTAGAATTATCTCCCTTGGCGCCAGTTTATTTTTTATTTTATTTATTATAAAAACATATTTATAAAAACATATTAATAGACCAGTAAGTTAAAAAGACTTACTCCATGAAAGAGCAAATTGGAAAAAGGAAAAATTGGAAATACATATTGAAAGGCTTGCATATAAATCCTTTTGATGTTTGTGATAAGGAAAAGAATACGTTTGAATACTGTTTCTAATAATTTCGTCTGACCAGGGAACTCTGTCGTGGGTATGAAGATAAACTACATCAATAGCAATACCGCTAATCGCGAGGTTTTAAAAAGCATGGAACGACCTCTTAATTACTGTTGTTCCCAGGTCCACCCAGACCGGTGGGGGTAGCCCCTGTTAGAATCACAGTTATGGGCAAATAGTTAATCCCCAAAATGGGATGAAAACAATGAATATAGTAAAAATACCAGCAATATACTTTTTGTGGAAAAAGAAGAAAATATACCAGCAATACATTTTTGTATAAGAAATTATTAATGCTCCCAATAAAATTAAATTTCGGCATTAAATGGCCCATAAGGTGTTGATAAACAAAGAAACAAACTAGAAATTGGGTACCTCTGGACTTATTCAATTTAGTGGGTAGCGAAATATTTGCGATTATATTGGAAGATCCATTGCTAAAGATCTTGGAAGAATGATCAGTTCCCTTTACTGCTATACAAAATACCTGACACCTCAATGTTATGCTCCATCCTTACACAAATCAGATCAGAGCAAAGACTGAGTGCTTCTGCCATATGGGGTTTGGAGCTACCCAGTCTTTCTTTTCCAGCATTGAATGAGTTTAGTAGCTTACAGCCGCATCGCGTTGAAACATTGGTTGCCGTGCGATCACCGAAATTAGGCAACGTCGAGCCTGGTCAGTACTAAGATGGGTAACCGCATGGTAAAGCCAGGTGCTGTAAACTTGGATTTTCGGGTGTACGTAATGGATAATGGCTCGGAATTGTTAATCGAAGAGCCGAGTTCTAATTCCAGACCGGATCGTTATATTCACTTACGCGCAAATACTCATGGGTAAGGTATGAACCCATATTTTCTGTCTCCAGCTATAGATTAATTACCAACACTTGTATCACTAAAACATTATATCAGTATATATATATATATATATATATATATATATATATATATATATATATATATATATAATTATTACAATCTAAAACATTTTCTGGTTTCTAATAACCTGGAAAGTGTTGATAACCCATAAAAAAACAAATCAATCAAATTGAGTTCAAAAGCGTTTACACAACATTGTGAATCATGAATTGTTCCCACTCTACAAGCACCTTCCTACGAACGAAACCCCACAAACCTTTTCTTACTCTGTCACGATTCCCTGGCAAATATTCTGACCAGCTACATTCCTTAATTCCACAAGGTCTGTCCTTCACAACATGACCTACCATATCACGTACACTGGGACGAAGCATCTTCATTGATTTCGTATTCTACTAGCAAGAAAGTAGTTCCATTCGGACAGCTTAAGTTCCTGCAACAACCTCATTCAGTAATCTTCTACTTCAATTGGCTCTTAGGAGCTTTTATTGGGCGATAATAAGTGAAATATAAAAGGTATCCCTGGGTGTTATAATAATGTGTAGGCAAAAGTTCTATAGTACGCTTTATATATTAACGTTTTTCTTACCATTGCCAATTAGGTTAGCACAAATGACTCGTACCGACAGACCTGAAATTCTGTTTCATCTAAAACAGCACAGAAGTTAAAAATAAAAGAACAAGGAAATGAAGAAATCAGTCGATTTACTTATTTTATATGGACTTCAATAAAGGCTACAAACACAAGCCTACGTGAATGCTATTTGTTAAATACATTGACAGAAAGAAGAGCGAAGTACTTGTTGGTTCAAAGAATTTATGTGACAAGGATTGGCCTTCAGATGCTGGAACAGTATCATTGATCTCTTTCCGCCTTTCTGATTTTCATATTTGTAAATAATAGCGCATGCGCATACGCACACAGTTATTGCTCTATTGATGAAGTATACATGTTCATGGGCTTAATATTCAATCTACCCAGTTCACTTGGAAGGTTGGTCAAGTTAGTACAGATGACTTGATGATTGGAAAACACGGATAAGTTAGGGAAGTTATCACTGCTTGATTCTAGTTTGAAATTGACCAACGGAGATGTGTAGCTATGAGTTGCTCTCTATAGAATTAATATATTTTTATGCTCTTATTTACCCAAGAGCCACTCAGTATAGAGGGTTACTGAATGAGGTCTCTGTGTGTGATATGAAATTAAGAGAATGGAATGTGATATGCAGATCATGAGGATACGTAGGATAGATAAGAGCTGACTGAACACTTGAAGAGGTTGTAGTGACCAGGGAAGCAACCGCTCGGGTCTCTGTTCTACTAAGCAATGATTCTTGGGAAGAAGCCGACTGAGTGGATATTCTTTGCAGCTTATAGAATACAAAAGGCACGAGGATGAATGAAATATGCGTATAGGCGGTACCTTGCTATGAACTTTTCATATAGTTCATATAATTCTCATATCGAATTTGCTCAGTGTAGCGTCGTTCAAAAATCTTGTTAAAAATGTCTTGTTAAATAAGGATACATTTTGGAGTGACAGTTTATTTTCACTGCTGTCTAGTGAAAATATCTGCGACACAGTCATGATCGTAAGTTATTGGCATAACATAACACTATCACACATTGCCTAACGTTTCAAATTTATTCAATTAATATTTATTAATGTTTATATTTCTGAGGTGAGGTATTCACGACGTTTCGAATTCGTTAGCAAATTCCAACGTAGTCCACCTGAAGTAGGCCGGGGCGGACAACGGCCGAAACGTCGTGAATATGACAATAAAGATACGGACAACAATAAATAGTATCATATCTATTAACTCCGAAAGCAACATCCACATGAAGAACTTTTGTCTAATTTAGCTTCTGTATTTTTTTGTCATCATTAAACCCAGTTTTACTTGGCAGCTTCGAGCAGAAACAGACTAAATTTTGAAGTTAGAAGATAATGTATTCTTGTATTTTCTCTAAGTCTAGAAAAGCAGATATTTCAAAACATCCACGGACAATTCCTAGGTTAATACTAGTAGGTTGTCCAGAAATACATAGGGAACATTTCTTGTAATCCTCCTAGAATCCAATGAGAAGTTCATCTCATTTGCAGTATCTAATGAAATCTTTTCATTGTACAATTAAAATTTCAACTACGGGAAGATTAACCTTAAATCAAGAACTTTTGTCTAATTTAGCCTCTGTTTTTTTTCATCATTAAATCCAGTTTTACTTACCAGCTTCGAGCAGAAACAGACATAGCTTAAATTTTGAAGATAGAGAAAATAGAAGAATACATTATATTCTAAGTCTAGAAAAGCAGATATTTCAAAACATCCACGGAAAATTCCTAGGTTAATACTAGTAGGTTGTTCAGAAATAAAGAGAGCACATTTCTTGTAATCCTCCCAGAATCGGATCAAAAGTTCATCTTCTCATTTGCAATATCTAATGAAATCTTTTTCATATTACAATTAAAACTTCAACTACCGGAAGTTTAACCTTAAATAGGGTAAATTAGATGCTTTAAACCCTGAGATTTAGATCAAGATCAAGGGGTCTTTTAATTGGATCCAACCTATTTTGAAACAAGAAACAGCGATAGATAAGGTTGAGTCATAAGAAATTTCTTTTTTGGGAATCGATACTAATGACTAATGTATCATAGCTTTGGTAATAAAATAAGCACATTCCTGTCTACATTTCTGAAATGAGGTATTGTAATTATTTAAAATATTTACATTGTTCGGACTGTTTTACTCTTCGTTGTCCTTGTGAACACATGTGGATAAAAGCGTTAGTTGAATCCAGTGACTTGACGTGTTCAATACCTGGCTACTGCAGAGATGAACAAAATCTTGGAGAGTTAAAGGGAGATAAGTGAGACACTTGGAAGAGGCATGGCGCATGGAACTAGAACAATCTACTCCTGTGGACGAAATAAAGGGTTCAGTTCGAAATTCCAATCACCTGAAGAAGTTCGGAGCGTACAACGACCGAAAAGTTGAGAATATGGTAACGAAGATGAAGACAACAGTCCGAACAATGTAAATAGTTGAAAGCACGTCAGGCTATATGACGGTTCCGTATAGGATACAGGTTCGATTCCTGTCGGAAGACGCATATTTTCTAGGACAATTTCTCGGATATTCAGGCCGGCAAATGTTGTTAATACTGTTTATTATAAACAAAACATTTACTTAAATATTTGAATCTATAAAAAAAGAATGTATAAACATAAAAATGTCTTTAAATAATTGTCGGACTTTGTCCATTTCATAATGTGTAACGTCATTTGTTTACATTTGAATACGCTTCGAGCAGATATTAATGTACGTGAGAAAATCATGGAAAATTGTAATTTAAAAACAGTAAAATCGACCTTGATACCGAAACGCTCCTCTGTGGCTCAATCGGTAAAAGCACGTCAGGCAATGTAAATAGTGTAAATAAGCAAAACCCATCTATTTTGCTTCTATCCGTCACAATAAAAATAGCGTTTTTCGGCTAAAATCTGAATTAGTCTAATAAACCTTCATAAGCTTCTACTTGGTGTTTTTACTATATTACACTGATTACTAATCATACGTAGCAGTTAACGATGAATTTAGAGTATATTAGCATATCTTAGATTTGATTACCAGTGAATACATTGGATAAAAAAATGTTTTTCTTTTCGATGACAATGATAGCCTGTGTTCGACAGGAATAACAGAATTGATTTCTTTTGTTTATTACCTTTATTCTTCAAAAAATGAAGTACAATTACATTTTATTCAGTTATATATTCACTATTATTTTCAATGACTTGTTGCCACTTATCAGGCTGTTTGTTAAATTTAAGCAAAATTCTGTAGCTTTCGATTTATAAAAACTTTTCAATGAATGCCTGAATCTGGTTTTCATTACAGAAAGCTTTCCCAATCGAAGTGTTTTGTAGCAGTCGAAAAAGTTAATAATCAGTTGGTATAAAGCCATAGAATATGGCGAATAGAAATAGACCAGACCAACATACCTCCAAATTATTTTCCTGGTTAATTATTATTATTATGCCCTATGCGACCTCGGGGTGTCATGGCGGAGAACCATATCTTTCCTATTGATGTGGGCAAGGCGCTTTTCGGCCAGACCATTTATGAGTACATTGCAGCGGAAGTTCATACAAATATCAATATAATTGTTTGTTTAGCAGTATATCAACACTTTATGGGTCATTTAATCCCGAAATTTAATTTTCTTTGGAGCATTAGTAATTTCCTTTACAAATATGTATTGCTGGTAATTTTGTTTTTCATTTCTTACAAAAAATGTATTGCTGGTATTTTTACTATAAATTTTTTTATACATTCATAATGTTTTGATCCCATTTTGGGGATTAACTATTTGCCGATAGCTGGGATTCTAACAGGTGCTACTATCTCCGGTGTGGGTGCACCTGGGAACAACATCAATTATGAAGACGTTCCACGCTCTTAAAACCTTTTGATCAGCTGCCTTGCTGCCGGATGTAGTTTATCGTCATACCCAGGACGGAGATCTCTTTTCAGACGAAATTATTATAAGCAGTATTCAAATGTATTCTTTTCCTTATCTCAAACATCAAAAGAGTTCATATGTCAGTCTTTGAATATGTATTTCCAATTTTTCCTTTTTGCAATTTGATATTTCATGGAGTAAGTCTTTTTACTTTACTGGCCTATTAATATCTTTTTATAATAAATAAAATAAAAAAATAAACTGGCGTCAAGGGAGATAATTCTAGTATCCAAAAATTTACAAACAAATATAAAGTAAAGTAGAAAAATAAAATTTGATGCCTGATAATGTTTTTTTTTTTTTTTTTTTC